TAGTGGTTACGAATCGGGCTGTGAACCTCAAGGTTAGCAGTTCGAAACTACCAGCTGTTCCGTGGGAGAAAGATGAGGCTTTCTGCTCCCATAAAGAGTTACAGCCTTGGAAACCCTGTACAGGGTCACTATGAGTCGGAACCAACTCCACGGCACACAACAACAACAAGTATGTTAAAAATATAAGGTTCCATGACATATTGATCAATTGAATTCTGAGTCTGGCATCTCCTAGTGATTAAAACCCAAAAAACCACACCTGTAGTTGAGTGAATTCTGGGTCAGTGTGAATAGCCCCATAGGGTTTCCAAGGCTGCAGTCTTTACAGAATCAGACAAACCTGCGTCTTTCTCCGGAGGAGCTGCTGGTGGATTCAAACCACCAACCTTTCTATCGGCAGTTCAGCACTTCACCACTGTACCACCAGGGCTCATTTCTTGGCAATTTGAAGAAATAAACAAATCACTTGCCATTGAGTTCCTTTTGACTCCTAGTGACCCTGTCTGTGTAGAGTTTCCAAAGCCATGAATCTTTACATGAGCAGAAAGCTTCACCTTTCTCCCTCAGAATGGCTGGTGGGTTTGAACTGCTGATCTTGCATTAGGAGTGCATTGCTTATCCTATACACCAGGACCCCATGAAATTCAACATATAATTTCATCTTCCTCATGTCATGAAATCATTCCCATTTTGGCAAAAATGTCATTTCATTGATTTCTTTTCTGCTGGTATCCATCATTATAATGGGTTAGAAAGGAGTCTCAGACTTACCTGCAGTGAACAACCACCGGCCCCACTGCATGGCGCTTGGCGTAGGATGCCTTCCGCACGAAGGTCAGCACGGGTAGAGAGTACTCCGGCACTCCCATGTCAGGCCACTGCGTGTAGTGATACTGTGTTATCACCCGCCCGCTGGACTTTCCTTTCTGAGACCCCTGGAAGAGCATAAATAGCTAATAACAGACATACACAGGTTTGGGAAACATCACTTTAGGACTCACAGCCTGACAGAGGGGGTTCAGAATGAAGCAAAAGGAGCACATGGCCATGGTTCCATTTTTGTTGTTTTCTTTCTCTTATTTCAGTCTTCACTCCTTTTATGAGGATGTTGGGGTTGTGTCAGGGCTGGTCCATGCAATCACAATGTAGAACATGGGGCAGGATTTGCTTTTGGTATACCTTGTCTAATGCACCCATAGTCACCACGGATAATCTGGCACCAAAGACAAGGCTGGCATGTAGAGACTCAAGAAATCGTTGGGATTGAAGTGTAGCTGGTTTAAGAACTTTTAATGTTTTTCATTAAAAAACAGGGTCGTTATGAGTTGGAAGTGATGTATGTAAACTAATCACGGTTATATAAAATGGATGCTAGAATCATGACAATTCATTGTAGAGGTCAATGGCTGAGTCCACTATTTATTGACTTACCTTTTTTATTTTTGTGTTCCTTAGAGTAAAGTTCCTCACAGTATAATAGGCAAGCACTTGGACACTCTTCTGAGTGACCAGAAAGTTTCCATATTCTTCACTTCCATCGACAGGCCAGTACTGGTCACATTTTCTCTGCAAAAGAACAAGTGAAGGATCCATTGCCTTATTTCAAATGCATAACGTAACATAAACTTCATCACTGAGATCAGGAAAGGCTTGAGGCAGGGACAAGCATGGGTTTCCTCACTTTTCTAAATACTTACTTCTCTTACTAAATGATTACAAATTAGTTGTAGATGTGACCAGGAGATACAATCACAGACTGAAAGAGATTTGGGATGATCCAGTTTCAGAAAAGAAAATTGAGGTCAAGCATATTAAGTCACTAATTAAAGGAAAAGCCAGGGCTAGAATCCAGGCCCTGTAAACTCAAACCTCTTTTACTGTCTACACCACATTTTAATGAGTTGCATTTCTTTTTTTCACAGTTTGAAGCATCCATTACAAAAAACAGTAGGCGTGGAGCTGTAGGATAAGCCCTAGACTGGGAAGCACAAGGTCAGTGGTTCAAACCCACCAGCTGCTCCTTGGAAACCCTGTACAGGGTCGATATGAATTGGAACCAACTTGACAGCACTTAACAACAACAACAACAACAACAATGTTAACAATTTCCCTTTAGATGTCAAATTTAAGTATGAAAGTAATACCCATCACCATTCTCCCAATACCAATTCTGTCACAAGCAATTTAAAGGCTCTCTAATTTCTGTCCTGGGGTGGTGCTACAGCATCAGCACTGGACTGCAAACTGCAAGGTCGGCAGTTCAAACCCACCAGTCGCTCCTTGGAAAGCCTATACAGGGTCACTGTGAGTTAGAAACGATTTAATGGCACTTAACAACAAAAACAGTGCCATTTGGGGATTATATTTCTGGTTACGTACATACCCTTCCTTTCTCCACAAGGTTTGTTATCATGACAATGACTTCCACGTTATGCTCCCATATCATTCTCCAGAAATCTTCAGCTGTGGATTTCAGTGGGCCTTGGGCAGCAATGTAAGCTTTTGGTCTGTTGTACCCCTGAAATCACAGATGCCAAGTGCTTCTTATTGTCACATTCATATGTCATTTGAATGGCCTAATATTTGAGTTTTTTTTTAATTTTTTTTTTAATCAGCCTACTTTTTTTTTTTTTTATAAAAGAGAAGATCTGGCAAAGCTAAGGATAGCTCCAGCAAAGATAAGTATTTATTCTTCTGTAACTATGATTTTTGTTAAATAATAACAAAAGAAAAAAGAGTTATTTACTTTGATACAACCACATTTAATCCAAGTTTATTTGTGAAGCTTAATATCAGGTGTGCTGTTTTGAAAGCCCACCGCTGGTGTGGCCCCCTTGGTGATACTGAGCAGGTCTAATCATTGATAGTTATCTGTTGCTGAGCATCGCTTTTTGGTCATAATGCTTTACAATTATTAGCCTTAATCCTTAATGTATAAAATAAACAGAGGCATCATCCCAGAGTTGGAGAAGAGGAAACTGTAGTTCAGACGAGTTAATTGGTCCCACAATTAGCTGGTGGAGAGCTAGGACTCAAAACCAGTTGTAACTCCAAAGTCCATGTTCTTTTTGGCATACATGTGGCCTAGTCTGGACTCCTGGTGTGGAGCTGTAGGATCAGCACTTGGCTGTGAACCACAAGGTTGGCAGTTCAAATTTACCAGCTGCTCCTTGGAAACCCTATTCAAAGTCGCTATGAATCAGAACCAACTCGATGGCACTTAACAACAACAGCAATGGTCTAGTCTGGAACTTGATGCTTAGAGTTCAGTAGCCCGTACAGCATACCTGAAGGCAAGTAGACTGAGAAGTCAGGGTCAGGGAAAGACTTGAGTGCTGCTGGCCTTCAGTTGCTCACGATGTTTAAAACTCAGTGTTAGTGAGTGGTCTACTGTCACTGAAGATCTCTGATAAATTTCACAAAGCCAGACACCTTGAGGGATACCCAAGACTATAAAGGCTAACAACTGGTTTTGTTTGCCTTTTAACCAGTCCTGGTGTGGTGCTGTGGGCTAATGCATTCAATGGCAAAGTCGTTTGAACTGTGAGGTCAGTGGTTCAAGCTCATCAGCTGCTCCTTGGAAACCCTATACAGGGTTGCTATGGATTGGAATTGATTCAATGGTACTTAACAACAACAATAACCATGGGAATTTATCATGGCACACAACCATCACCACCATTTATTGATCCTACTACCACTCATCTCAATGGGATGGTTGACACAGTGGCTGTAACAATGGGCTCGAGCACAGGAAAGATTCTGAGGATGTCAAAGGACTGGGCAGTTTTATTCTGTTGTACAGAGTCACGATGAGTCGGAACCAACTTGACAACACCTAAACTGGTGAGGCACTATAGGCTAAGCACTGAACCGAAAGGGTGATTTGAACCACAAGGTCGGCAGTTCAAACCCAGTAGTCGTTCTTGGTGGTGGTGTGCTGTTGCTCTTAGGAAACCCTATATAGGGTAACTATGAGTTGGAATCAACTAGATGGTATTTAACAACTATAATCATCCATCACTACCTACCAACATTCACGGATCATCTGCTACATGAGCACCATTGTCCAAGGAATGATGGGATATTAAAAAACTCAAGTTGGAATCAAGGAGTTTGCTTAGTTTTGTTTTGACTTTGAGAACACAATTCCACTGGAACAGATAAATCCTCACTCAGGATAAAGCAAGTACAACAGTGCGTGTTGTTCAACCTAAAATCCTGCCAGTTCTGGGATTTCTTAGAAAGTTATTTACTGCTGATTTTCACTTTTTACTAACCATTCAATAACGTGTATTTAAGCACTGTGGTATCATAAATCATAGATGAATATAATTTCCATAAACTTTTAAATTAAAACATGCTTACATCAACATAATTGGCGTTGATATAATCAGTCAGTTTGCCATCTTTTTCAGCAAGTTGTGCAAGTCTAACACGGCTATGATCATCTGAAACAAAAATAGACAATAAAATAGAAATCATTTCACTGCAGTAGACTCCTTTTCTGCATAGAGGTCATTTTCATCTGCATAATCATTTATCAAATGCAACAAAAATCACTGCAAAGATCATTTATTGTAATAAGCTTTTGGGGGCTACAGAGACGAAGATAACAAATGATAAAGATATCAAGAGGCTATGTTGTCAAGAAGTTTTTCTAATGTCCTAAGTGAGACTACAACATATACACAGAAGGTAATAAGAGAGAGGTACATAGGTACATACCATTAGGGAGATATGACAGTGAAAATTGTACTAGTTTGGGATGATAAAAATTTCATAGACGTCAAAACCTTCAACTGGCATCTTAGTTGAATTTTCAATGACGGGTTTTTAAAGGTAGGTCCTGGGACTCTGAACAGTGGAGCGCCTCATACAGAAGGTAGATGGGGGCTCAGAAAGCTAGGGAAGGGTGGCAGTATAGGCCTCTGAACGGAGAGTGGCGGGAGGAAGAGGGCATAGAGGACGCAGCAGACACGGTCCTGGGAATGGTTAAAAACAGCTCTTACAAGGGAAGAGTCTCAAGGAACTATTGCAAAGACAACAGTGGTTCGTGAAGAGAGGAAATGGATTCTCTACTACCAATTAAAAAGGATGAAATGAATGCATTCATGGTAATTCAAATAAATTGGGACAAGCAGTTAGGGATTCACTTCTCTTCTACAAGGAACCTATGTTTATTTGGAGACACTATATTAGAAGAGAAAGTGTTATTAGAAAGAAACATGGTGGTTTCTTTCACTAAGCAAACTGTTCATTTCAAGAATGAAGAAGTAAATACAGGTCAAACCATGACTAACATAATGGTAATGTTGGGATATTAATATTTATGTGGCATTAGCAATCCTGTGGAGTCCTGGTGGCATTGTGGGTTAATGCGCTGGACTGCAATGGCAATTTGAACTGCAAGGTTGGTGGTTCCAGCTCACCAGCCACTCCTTGGAAACCCTATACAGGGTTGCTATGGGTTGGAATCAACACAATGGCATGTAACAACTTAACAACAATAATAAGCAATCCACAGGGTGTGAATGGGGGAACTGATCGGCAAGGGAAAGGTGGGCTGGGATACCAGGCAATCCTAGGTTAATAAAAGAACCTGTTAATGAAAGAGAGATGTCTATAGCTGTGTCAGCTTCTAGAAAATCTAAATAAACAACTGATAATCTCATATGCACTTGATGTTAGAGAGGCCCACTGGATACATGAGGGGGAATACAAGTACAAGTTTTATGGGGGAAGGAAGGAAAATGAAGATGATATCAAGAGATGGTTGTTATGCGGGACCTTATCCAGAGAAGCAGCGACACCAGAGATGGAGGTAGAGATAAGGACATGGAGAGAGGAGCAGCTGAGGACTCTGGACTCATAGAAAGAGAGGGACTGGGTACTGGCAGCCAGGTGGTAGGCTTGAAGAATGTGACCTTTGAGTGTTTAAATGATTATATATTCCTGAGTGTTTTTGTGTACATCCCCCACCTTCCCCCCCAAAACCCAAAAAACAGAGGGAATGGAAGCAAATACTGTTGAATGATGATGCATGGATTGTAATCATTGCAATGAAACAATGGTGTAAAGCTGATGTTCTCCCATGTAAGTTATCACTCGGTTCACAATTAAAAAAATAAAGAGAGAGAGAGATGGTTGTTGTTAAGTTCCGTTGGTTTGGTTCAATTCCTAGCGACCCTTATAGATAGGGTTTCTGAAGAGCAGCTGGTGGGTTTGAACTGCTGACCTTGTGGTTCACAATCTGGTGCTGAAAAAGAAAACAGGAGGGACCAGATATATACATGAAGTGCTACATGAAGATGAAAGCAAGATGGTAATTTGATAAAATTGAGGCAAATGAACTTGGATTCAATAGAAATGCCAGCTAGCTCTCCAAATTCAGAATAAAAGGAAGGAGAACAGCTGTGAAAAACTAAAGGAAAGAAGGAATGGAAGGAAGACAGTCAGCCAGTTGTTGATAAGATCCCATGAAAATGGCAAGAAAGGGAGAAAAAGAGTAAAAGGAAAAAGAGAAAGCATGCTTCATTTGATTAGCCAATTCACGTAAGATTAGGTAGCTCTGAAGTGAAAGGAAGGCTCTCTGGTGGTGCAGTGGGTTAAGCAATGGGCTTCAAATGCAAAGGTCAGGGGTTTGAAACCAACAGCCTACCTGTGGACGGACAAAGACAGAGCCTGCTTCCAAAAGATTTACAACCTTGGAAGTCCTAGGAAGCAGCTCTCCGCTGTGTAATAGCATCACTGGGAGTCAGAATAGACTCGAAGGCCGTGGGTGGGGGAAGCAGGATCATGGAATATGAAAAATGACAGAAGCCACAGGCTGGAGGAAGGGGCTGAATTCAAAGGGACTTTATTTTGTTTAAAGGAAACATATGGCAAGAACTGTAGAACGTTTTAGTTAGAATGATGCCATGCTCTGTATGAGGAATGTGGCGCTGTAGGATAAACACTGGAGTGTGGACTGCAAGCCCACCAGTTGCTCCTTGGAAACCCTATAACGGGTCGCTGTAAGTCAGAACCAACTCAACAACACTTAACAACAGCAGTATTGAGCACAAGTCTTATTCTTGACAGCAAAGTCATGGGAGGCTGCTCTGAGGTCTCTGCCAGATGGTTTCAGCACACCTTAAGGCACAGCAGTGACAATGATGACAAAGTCAGAGCTGAGTTGAGGCCATACTTACAGGCAACTATGTTGATGTATCGGTTTTTGTGCTTGTTGTCTGGGTGGTTGGAGCTGTCTGCTGTAATACCTAAGTCAACAGTACAGCTCTGTACTTCCTGGAAATAAATTACAGGGACACCATTTTAACGCATATTCTTTCAAACACAGTGCCTTAAAATAAGGAAGACAAAAACAAACACAACAATCTATCAAAAACAAAGTTTTTTTTTTTTTTTTTACATCTTACAACTACTTCTTTGCTAAAAGATAATGCAGTGAAATAATGCCTTACCTGGTAAAACTCTTTCAGTGTCTAATGAGGGAATGAATGCCAAAAAATGTAAAGAAATCAAATTCCACAGCACACGACAAATGAGAAAAAAAAGCGTTCATATTAGGTTTACAATGGAAAACTAGGATCATGCAATAAATACATTTGTCAAATACTAACAAAACAGAATGTTTCAAACAGTTGCATGCAAATCAAAACGTCTAACAATTTGGAACCTTAAATTATTTAAAAGAAAAAAGACAACACTTTTAAAAGGGGAGAGTGGTATAATACTATGATGAATTTTCTTTTAAAATGCAGATGAGAAAAATGATACATTTCATAACCAATTGTAGCTTATTAGTTAAAGTCACTAATTTCCAAATTATTTAATCACTCCAGTAATATTTTAAACTCTGAATTAGTGATAGATATACACTTTTGTGTTTTTGAGTAATTTTCAACAGAAAACAGCTTCCTGTTAGGAGGTTTGTATCCTAAGATTGAGAGTACCAGCACTTTTTTTTGCAGAAAGATTTAAAAAATTATACATACTATGAATCGGGCTGCGAACCTTAAGGTCAGTGGTTCGATTGAAACTACCAGCCGCTCCGCGGGAGAAAGATGAGGCTTTCTACTCCCGTAAAGATTTACACTCTCGGAAACCCTGCACAGGGTCGCTATGGGTCGGAACCGACTCGACGGCACTTAACAACAACAACAACATACTATGTCATTTTGAAACACATTTTATGTATCACTTTCTATGTATTTAATTAATAGACCTTTTTTTTGGTTTAAAATTTAATGGCCAGAGAAAAGTTGTTTCTGTGTTTAATTCTTTTGACAATGAATTAAAGTTCTTTTCAGAGATGTTTTCTATCTAAATGTATTAGTTTTGTTGCTGTTTCTAAGTGTCATCGAGTCAGTTCTGACTCACAGCCACCATGTATATGGTTTCCTGGTGGGTTTGAACTGCCACCCTTGCACTTTAAACCCACCTTGTGGTCCAGTGCTTATCCTATAGCGCTATACAAGGAATCCCATATCTTAGTTTGGAATTGATAAATTATTAAATATTATAATAATATCATGTCATTCTTCCAAGATCATTTCTGGTAAAGTACATATTACAACTCAAATATGCATCTGATTCATCAGCAAATAACTCAGCCTCACGTCAAAGAAGCTTCCCAGACCCATTTCAGCAAGTCATCTGACTCAATGCTTACAATTTACTACATGAACCACTTAAAAGGTATAGCATTATTAGTTATTAAACTGATTGTTAAGTTAATGAAAGATTTTCTTGAATCAGACTGTGAGTTAAAAACAGTGGAATTAAGAAAAACCTTTTGAAAAAAACTGTGGTTATTTGATTAATTGAATTGTTAGGAGACGTTTAATAATACTCAAAATGACTTCATAGTTGTGACAACTTTGAATCTGCCTTTGAGCATCTGCTGTCAGGAACCTTTATTTGTAAACTGTCTACTTTTACTTACGGTTTTTAACACTTGGAAGATTAGATACGCTTGCTATTTCAATGACAATTTTATTTGGTGTTAGCCTGATTGTTCCTATGAGTTAACACAGTACCAGAGTGACAGCTTGCTTACGGCAGGAAAAATGATTTGATGTTTTAAATACATTATTCTTCATATGATTCCACTTTACTTTAGAGTTACTTCACACTGCTTTCTTACTCAAAGTAACTATAATTTAGATTTCTTTTAGGATTACATGGGTTGGCTTCTATTATTTTTAATGTACTGGGGGGAAAACCCCAGCACATTTTATTTCAATTTCTTTTGATATCTTAAAACTTTCTAATCTCTGATATTTTTCCCTTAAGCATATTCTGAAATCAAACTCACGCCACAGCAGTGACTAACTGATGCCACCTGGGAAGCAGCTGCTGGAGACAGTGTTTCTACTCTGTCTCTGCACAGTGCCCTCTGTGCTTCAAAGAGGGAGATCAGAATGCACTGGGGCTGGGGGTGGGGCTGGGGAGAGTCCATTAGTCAACGTTCCCTTCCTAGAAGTGAGCAGACAGTGGGCTTGCTTATTGGCAGGACAGTGGAAAGAACATGAGCTTTGGGATCACAGACCTGGGTTTGAATCCCAGCCCTGCTGCTATTTATCAGCTGTTAATTAATGTCCCTTAAATCTGATTGTGGTTACGAATTGGGCTGCGAACTGCAAAGTCAGCAGTTTGGAACTACCAGCTGTTCTGTGGGAGAAAGATGAGGCTTTCTGCTCCCATAAAGGTTTACAGCCTCGGAAACCTTGTACAGAGTTGTGATGGGTCGGAACCGACTCCTCGCCACTTAACAAGTTTGATTTTAGGAATCCTGGTGTGGCACCGTAGGATAAGCATTGGACCACAAGGTCGGTTTGAAACACATGGTTAGCAGTTCAAACTCAACAACCGCTCCTAGGAAACCCTATGCAGGGTCACAATGAGTCGTAACCGACTTGATGGCACTTAACAATAAGAAGCAGCAAGATTGATGTGAGGAGCCCTAGTGGCACAGGGTCAGAAACCCTGTATCACGTTGCTGTGAGTTGGAATTGACTTAATGGCAGTGACTCTGGATTTAGCTAAGTTTGATTTTAACAATAAGAACAATGTTGTTGTTAAGTGCCATCGCATCAGTTCCAACACATAAGGACCCTGTATAGAGTTTCCAAAGGAGCTCTGGTAGCGTAGTGGTTACGAATCGGGCTGCGAACCTTAAGGTCAGTGGTTCGAAACTACCAGCTGCTCCGCGGGAGAAAGATGAGGCTTTCTACTCCCATAAAGATTTATAGCCTCGGAAACCCTGTACAGGGTCGCTATGGGTCGGACCCGACTCAATGGCACTTAACAACAACAACATAGAGTTTCCAAGTAGTGATTGGTGGGTTTGAATCACAGTCCGGTGCTCACCCTACAGCCCCACACCAAGATTCTAATACGAATGAAATGGCAAATAACTCGCAGAGTTGAGTGACTGTTGAATGGGGGGGGGGGGGCACCTAGTGTACCGGCTTCATGGAGTGCTTTGTTGTTGCTAGTTGCCATTGACAACACATGTACAGAGTAGAAATGCTCCATGGGTTTTCAAGGCTGTGAGGTTTCTCACCAGGCCTGTCTTGCAAGTTGCTGATGGGGGGGTTAGACTCATTCGGCTGGTAGCTAAGTGCTGAACTGTGTGTGTCATTCAGGGACGTCTATGTGGAGTACTCACTTAAGATAGCTCTTGTCTGTGGTCATTGTTGTCTCACAGGAGCCCTGGTGGTGCAGTGGTTAAATGCTTGACTGAGATATTTGCAGTTTGAACTCACTAGCCACTCCATGGAGAAAGAAGTGGCAGGCAATCTGCTTCTGTAAAGATTTATGGCTGTTGTTGGTAAGTGCCATTGAGTTGGTTTTGACTCATTGCGACCCTGTATAGGGTTTCTGAGGAGCAGCTGGTGAGTTTGAACTGCTGACCTTGAGGTTAGCAGTCCAGTGTTTATCCTAGAATGCCATATCAGGACTCCCTGGAACTCGTGTAGGGCCTAAAGTGTCACTAAGAGTCAGAATCGACTCTGCAGAAACAGTTTTTTGGTGCTTTTGTTTGTCAACTCTTGGCGTATGACTTCATACTAAAAATATTTTTTTTGGAAGAATATTTTAACTGAATAGTTCTAGAAAACATTTCAATGTACAGTTCAAATGTTTTGGAAATGCATATTTTCTTGAGAAGATGTGATTTTACCTGATGTAATAATTAAAGTCATCTAAATGCTCTTGCATTTATACTGGAATAACAGAATTAAGAATGTATATGTGCTTTGGCTGAAAATCATGAAATTTAGCAGTTTAGTATAATTTAGAGAATTAAAAGGAATCAGTCTGATAATTGAGATGAGCAAGGAATGCTGTTGATCTGCATTTTATGGGAGAGAATGAGCACATTTAAAAAAAACTTTTTTTCCCTACTACAACTCGACTTTTTACAACAAGAAAACCAATTTTGTAAATGATATGATCACAACACATTTCCTAAACACATGATTGATCACACAATTCATATTTTCTCTAGAAAAGCAAGTGCCTGCTGATTCTTTAAAATGTACTAATTAATTCCTGTGTTATTTGAAGCAGACATACTGAAATCGTACCTCAAATTCTTCAGTAAACCCATTACTTGCATGCAAATCAGCAACATGTTTTGGAAAGTGCTTTATAGGAATTGCTCCGACATCATCTAAGTGAATTAAAAAATATATATATTAGAAAGGATAATTCCAGAGAGATGACATTGTCTCTAATTTATAAAGTATCTTCTTCTAAAGCATCTTCAAACTTGATTTATTTTTATAATCCCAATCCTGAGGATTCCCTTGACTGTGGCCAGTACTTGGGAGACTGGAAAGGATCTAAACTTTAGAATCACAACCTGTGTCTGCAACATTGTTCAATGAAACATTACGCAACAATGAATTGTTTTTCTTCTTCTATATGTGCTACCAACCCTAAATGCAGTTTATAAATTTGAGTTGGTTAAGAATCTCTTGAGAAAAGAATTCATTTTGGCTATTTGTAAATATCACCAAAGCCTCACTTCTTATCAATGGACTGCATTTTTTTTTTCAAATGAATAACTTTCTTTAACATGGATGGGAGTTGCTTGTAAAACTCTGAGCAAATAAACAAACAACACTAACATATTTTTAATTTTACATTGAAATAAGCAAAATATGCAATCCAAATTCACTTTTATAAAATTGTATACTTTAATGCCTTACAGTCAAATAATCAGATGTTTACATTTGAAAGCATTTTTTCCTTCACTCTATAAATAATAGAAAACATTTATATGCATAATATTCATTAAGGATAATGTCAAAAACCTTTGCGACTTTTAATCTGTAAAATTTCGAGAATTCTACCATGAAAAGATGCTATGTAAACAAACTCATTTGATCTGTTAATTAATTATGAAGGGGCCAAATTATTTTAACTGACTGTTGTTTTTGTGTCCGCCCCCCCCCCGCCCCCCCACCTCTGGAAAGGCATTCTTAGATTAAACATATTACTAGATCACAGCATGTAATTTCACAAGTGATTCTTCTGACAAGGAAACATCAAACACATTTCACTAGAAACAGTTATTTACATCAACAGATGTTCAGCACTTAGACCATCTAATATTTTTAAGCTTCAGCTACCAAGAATTTGTTGATTTAAAAAAAAAAAAAATTAGAACCCATCTGTTCTCTCTTTTAGATAAGTGGACCTGAATACTAAAATTGAATTAGCCAGTCAAGCTTAAGAAACACTAGACAAAGGTGTAATTCCACCTTCACACCTACAGAAGGACCTTACCTAGAAGTGACTCTTATAATTAGATATGAAACCAGACACAATTTGTCACACCTAAATCATTAATTCTTCCAGTAACTGTCCTTCAAACCCATTGATACGATCCTGTACACTCAACCTCCTTTCATGAAAAGACAGACTGTGCTTTATTTATGGTTAGCTATTTGGGTAATTTCTTTTATTAATTAGTCTGCAATAAGTGAGCTGGAATGTCTTTTCATTTTTGGATTTGACCTGAAATGTATGTTCAAGTGATCAAGAGTGAAACTTTGAGAGTGAGCAGGTTACAAAAGGAACGTCTTTGGAAAAGATAGCATGAGAACGCTCCTGACATCTAAATTAGAAATTTTGATTTCCTGGATTATTTTAATTGTTGCTAATAATAAATTATGTGGGACTTTGGAAACTATTGGAAATTGCTTATGCATGTTTATGGAAGGTTTAGTAGAAATATGTTTGAAAGTGACAGGAATCAAAATGCAAAAGGTAACTTTGATGGTCTCAAAAGTCTAAAACTATTCATTGGAAATGGTGTGCCAATAAAATATATGCACAGCAATCTATCAAAAGGTGGAACACAGAAGTACGCATACAGTTGCAATGAAAGCCATATGAGGTGAAAAGGCTTAAAAAAGTCCGTGTCCTCACCCCCAAAACAACAACAACAACAACAACAACAACAACAACAACAACAAATCCCAGAGGGAATAGAAGCAAATATTGTTGAATGATGATGCATGGAGGAGACTGTAATCATTGCAATGAAATAATGAATGTAAAAAACTGATGTTCCCCCATGTAAACTATCACTCAATTCATAACAAAAACTTAAAAAACAAAAAGAATTAGATGGTATCTGGTTAACACTATCAATTATCTTGAAGGGGATCATACTAGAAGGTCCTGAATAAAGTAGGAGAAAATGTGGAACAAAACTCAAAATTACTTAAAAACAAAACAAAACAGGCTTACTGGTCAGAATAAGACTGGAGGCCTTTGACCACCCTTCAGGCCTGGAAAAGAACTCTCCCTTGTTGTCCAATTTTCAGTCAAGCGGTAAATAGATACACAAGAGGGGCAACAACACTAGTAAGGTCTGCTCACCAAGGAATGGTCAATCATTCAAAATTAAAAGGACAACATTCACGTAAGGGCAAAATTGAGCAGGGATGGGAAGGTGGGTGGCATGGAACTAGGAACCACAGGGAGGAAGTGGGAGAACTGTTGTTGCAGGGAGGAGATTGCAATCATGGAGGTGAAACAAAGTGTATGAATTGTTGCATGTAAAACTGATGACCTTCTTTGTAAACCTTTATCCAATTCACAATACAAAGTTAAAAAAAAAAAATTCGTGGAAAAATTCCATTATCTTTTAATTTCATTTTTCCACGAACTTTTTGAAGCCCCTTGGTTGGTACGGTTGATGAAAGATTAAAGTGAGCAAACACACTTCTAGTCCCTAGGCCTTTTGAAAGTTCTCAGTTATTTCTTGCATTTTGATTCCTGTAATTTTCAAACATACTTCTTCTGCATACCATGCAAGCATGAGTATACAATTTAATTTCAGTATTACTTAAAAATGCTTCTGTCTTTATCTTAAAAGCCATGTGATTGCAGAAGATAATACCATAAGGATCTTGCACTTTTAGCAACAACATGTAAGTATCAGACTATGCAAAAGAAGTTCTTCAGTAAAATGACCACCTAGGTGAACTTCTCCCCATTTGTACTCCTGGTTCAGTGACTCTCTACGTCCTTGTCTCTTCCTATACCCTCTAGTTCTTTCTCCATAGTTCACACACTTCTAGATGGCTGCTTTTTCAGCACTACTTTTCACTGAGACATTATAAAATGTTAATGAAATAAGTGTCTGTGATATTGAACTTTAGAGTCAATGAGTTTATTGATCAACATGACCTCAACTAATTTTTGAATATTCTTAACCAGGTAAATTCTGATAAAAATCATTCATATTTTCCCAGAAATTCAGTCATTCAATCTTTTGAATTGTAATCTCAGTCAACTCTTCATTGTTTGTGTTCATGTTCTTCGTCCATCATTATTCCTAACATTTTGTTTTTGTTTTTTTCCTAATGGAAATAAGAAATACTTTCTCACATAAACTTAGATTACCGGAAAGATTTAGATTGTACCATGATTTTTGTTATTTTCTTTCATTTGCACTTAACTGCATTGATTCAGCATTATTCTTCTGGTTTAAAGTTTCCACTAAAATATTTTTTTTGCTGTTAACTGTCTTCAAGGTGGTCGGTTCCAACTCATAGTGACCCTGTATAGTGTTTCTAAGGAGCAGCTGATGGGTTTGAACCACTGACCTTGAAGTGAGCAGGTAGTACTTACCCTACAGAAAAAGTCAGTATGATTTTTAAATTATATTTTTATAATATGCATATATTGTATATATTATTGCTATGAACTTTTGTGTTCTTCAATATATTATACCCAAAGAATGATAAGCTTTTGAAAAATGGTGTTACCTGTATAGATAACAATACCCAAAATTAATGAGAACACGATATACAGGTGTGTTTGCTTGACATGCAATGTACTACATATTTTTGGGAGCCCTGGTGTGGTGTTGTAGGATAAACGATGGACTGTTAATCACAAGGTTGGTGGTTCAAACCCACCAGCTGCTCTTTGGAAACCCTCTACAACGGCTCTGAGTCAGAACTGACTCAATGGCACTTAGCAACAACAACATATATTTTAGGCAACATAAATGTGCACACACCTACAAAGCACCCCAATAACAGAAAACCTTCCAACATTATGCTTTTCATTCAACATCTAACAGCTAACTAATAATGGTTACACTTTAAGTGATCACCTGAAATTGGAAAGATCGGTGTCGGGGGTGTGGATATGACTCTAGGAGATGTACTATCTTCTAGATAAAAGTGTGCCGTCTGGAAGCATTTCCTGAAAAGATAAGAGAGTAATTTATCCTACTAGCTACCATAGATAAATAGACAATTTCTATGATGATTGACAACTATGTCAGGACTCTCTAGAATTAAAAACAAACAAACAACAAGTGGAAATCTACATCTATGAGTATTTTAACAGCATACAAGATTATCAAGAATTTCATCGCCTCCAAATTGATCTCAGTTTTACCTGCACTAGAAGCAGAAGAGAGAGTAGACAGCAGATACGCTGAGAGCATAAATAACATTTGATATTCTAGTTGGTACCAAAGAGTATTTTACTGCAATAAGAACTATAATATCCTAGTTGCTTTTCCAGTGTTGGTTTGTTTCAATGTATCCTGCTACCATCTACAGGACCCGAGCACAAATGAAAGAATGTTTAAAGCTGTTTTCACTAAACACCCTTCTGAAAATATGCAGCTGCTAGCCAAAAGACAGCAAGCTATGGCTTTGTAGAAATGAAATTTCACAGTGGTAACTTTTTTATGAAAAAGGAAGGCAGCTTTACAGATGACAATGTAGTAGAGACAGAACTTATAAGCGAGAAAATAAAAAGCACATAGCTAATAATGGGTGATTTTCTTTCCAACAGAGGCTAGCCTTGATGATGAGGCTTCTGAGAATGAATACAATTGTCACCAACCTACAGCTCCAACCTGAATCTACTTTCACTCAGATGGCAAGAGTGACAGCTGGTAGGAATACAATACAAACTACAGAGAAGAAGAAATAAACAACTGTTGATACAAAGTAATGAAAATCATCCTTCATTTAAAAAATTTGTTTAAACTGTTAATGGACACTTTAAGGAATCCTGTTGGGGTACTGCCTAAAGAGCTCATCAGGATGCTAGTCAAAAGACTGGTGGTTTAAGCCTACTAGCTGCGACACTGGAAAAAAAATGTGGCAGTCACTTTCTGTGAAGTTGAGTGCATGGAAATCCAACAGGCAGATCTACACTATCTTATAGTGACACTATGAATAGGAATTGACATGACACCAATGAGTTTGGTATTGGAAATGACATTTTTTGATGTGGATCATATAATTTATTTGCAATACTACTCAGGAGTGTTTATGTTTAAACAGAAATGCTAGAATGAAATGAAACTTTGTCCTAATATGAACATCTGATCCAAGCCATGGCATTTTCAATAGCTTCATACGCATATGAAAGCTGGACAGTGAATAAGGAAGAATTGATGCATTGAGTTATGGTGTTGGAGGAGAATATTAAAAGTCCCATGGATTGCCAAAAGAACAAACAAATCTGTGTTGGAGCCAGAATGCTCCTTGAAAACCAAGATGGCCAGACTTTGTCTCTCATACTTCAGACATATTATCAGGAGGGACTAATGCCTAGAAAAGGATATCATGCTTGGTAAAGTAGAGGGTCAGAGAAAAAGAGGAAGACCTCCATCGAGATGGATTGGCACAGTGGCAGCAGCAATAGGCTTAGGTGTAGCAATAATTGTGAGGTTAGCGCAGGACTGGGCAGTGTTTCGTTCTATTGTGCATAGGGTCACTATCATTCAGTACCAACTCGATAGCACCTAACAACAACAATGAGCTTTAGCAGACCATTTGGTCTAAAGTGGTCTTATATAGTAACATATGTAAATTGTGACATTTTTAAGTACTCCAGTTCCATTCATAATATTATTCAATGGCTTCCAATTGCAGCTAGAATGACATTCAATTCTATCAGCAAAGACTCTGAGGCCTTCTGCGAGGCTCCTGTCTACTTCAGCAACCTCATCTGCATTTCTCTTCCTCATTCAGCACAGGACTGCAAAGTCGGTTTGAACTGCAAGGCTGGCAATTCAAACCCCTCAGCCGCTCCTCAAGGTTGCTGTGAGTTGGAACTGATGGTTCCAGCCCCGTTGGCTGTCTCCCTTTTCCTAGTTTTGTGCACTTTGTTCATGCTATTCTCTTTGCCTCCTTCCCATCATTTCTATTCTTCTTAAAGTCCTTCCCTGACCATGCTAGCTAAAATCTCTGACCATCCCACCAAGACATTAAGTTTGGTCCTTCTGTCTGCTTGTGGTGTTTCTTACTGAATGCTATTTTACTATATTAATGTGGCACTGTAGGAGAAGTACGAGACTCCTAACTACAAGGCAGACAGTTCAAACTCACCAGGTGCTCCTCAGAGATCCTACACAGGGTCGCTATGAGTCGGAACTGATTCAGTGGCACTTAACAACAACAATATAGTTGCTTATGTGTCTTGTTATTATTGGTGGTGGTGGTTATGTGCCGTGGAGTTGGTTCCGACCCATAGTGACCCTGTAAAGGGTTTCCAAGGCTGTAAATATTTATGGGAGCAGAAAGCCTCATCTTTCTCCAGCAGAACTGCTGGCAGTTTCGAACTGCTGACCATGTGGCTCGCAGCCTGATTTGTAATTGCTACGCTACCAGAGCTCCTTTCTGATTCATAGTGACCCAGTGTACAACAGAGCGAAATATTCTTGACAGTGCTCCATCCTCACAATCACTGTGGCACACGCCAATCCATTTTATTGAGAGTTTCCTCTTTTTCACTGACCCTGTACTTTACTTGGGGTCTTTCTGTGGTGTTGTAGGATGAGCAATGGACTGCAAGGTCAGTTTGAACCATAAGGTTGGGGGTTCAAATTCACCAGCCACTCCTTGGAAACCCTGTACAGGGTCGTTATAAGTCGGAACTAACTCGACAGCACTTAACAACAAATTTACTAAGCTGGTGTTCTTCTCCAGGGATTAGTCCCTCCTAATAATATGTCTAAAGTATGTAAGTTTTTATCCAAAGTCTTGCTATCTTCACTTCTAAGGAGCATTCTGGCTGCATCTGTCTTCTATGTTTATAATTAGTCTCCCCTTGTCAGAACATAAACCTGATAAAGGCAAAGGTACATGTTATTTATAGTTTCTGTATTTGCGAACTTTTTTGTTCACTGAAATGTATTTGTGTTCCTAAAATGCATACTTGGGGCCTTTTCATGTCTTCCATGGTCATTTGCAGACATGTGTGAGTAGAGAAGCATCTGAATCACTGAAACACACATTCTCTACTGAGTATGAACAAAGCCACACTGTCTTCTTGTTTCAGCTTGCAATCTCTAAACAAGAATCCTTTTCATGATCTTTTTTTCACTGCCACACCTTTTTTTGCTTTTTTTTTTTGTTGATTTCAGGGTGTAAAATGGCACCCAAGTGTAGCCATGAAGTATTTTCTAGTGTTCCTAAGTGCCAAAACACTGATGTGCTTTATGGGTGTTAGATAAGTTGTATTTTCAGGCATGAGTTCTAATGCTGTTGGTATGAATTCAATGTTAATGAACCAACAACATATACTAAAGAGCATGTCTTTGAACAGAAATGTACATAAAACAAGGTTAGTCATTGATGAGTTGAAAAAATGCTGTGACCAGAGGCTCAAAGGATCAAATCCTTATTTTCCTTAGGAGCCATGGTTCCCTGTTTGCTAAGCCAGTGTTTATGGTAACTTCACCAAGCATAACTTCTGTGAATAACAAAAATCAACTGCAATTTGTTATAACCACTTCTATCTTTGTCCTCAATCCCAACAACTGTGCCAGTCATGTGGTAGGTGTCCCCAAATATTTCTTCAGTGAAGTAGCTACTGTACCATACTGCCCCTTTATAGGGTTTCTAAGAATGCCTATCTTTACAGGAAGCAGACAACTTCATCTTTCTTTTGAGGAATGCTTGGTGGGTTTGAACTGTTGACCTTGCAGTTAGCAGCCTAATGTCATAGTGCCATCAGAGCTCCTATTTACTATTGCTCTTGCTGTTAAGTGCCACCAAGTCAGTTCCAACTCATAGCGACCCTGTATAGGGTTTCTGAGAAGAAGCTGGTAGGTTTGAACTGCCAGCCCTGCACTTCAAACCGATTTTTCAGTCTAGTGCTTATCCTATAATGCCACACCCAAGACTCCTATTTACGACTGCTGATGTTGTTAAGTGCTATTGAGTCAGTTCTGACTCATAACAACCCTGTACTGAGTTTCCAAGGAGAAGCTGGTGGGTTTGAACTGCTGACCTTTGGTTAGCGGTCCAGTGATATTCTACAGCACCACACCAGAACTCCCCTATTTGCCATGCTGTTGTTGTTGTTAAGTGCCATTGAGTTGGTTCTGACTCATAGTTACTTGTAAAGGGTGTCCAAGAAGCGGCTGGTGAACTTGAACCACCAACCGTGCAATTCAAACCAACTTTGCAGTCCAGAGCATCAACCCACAGTGCCACACCAGTACTCCCTATTTCCTATAAGTAATATAAAATTATAGTTTATTCTTATCTTAATGTTGCAAGCAAAAATGAAATCCTAAAAGCAATGACAGGCATTAAAACAAAAATAAACTAGCCTCTTGTTGTGATAGTGTAAGTCTTTCATAATCAAACTTGTTAGGACAAAGCTAATTGAAAGAACAAAAAAACTTTTCAAGGGAAAACAATGTTGGTAGGGAGGCCAGTGGATATGGAATCAAGCGTCAACAGGACTCTGAGACAGGTTCATGTCTAGAAAGTGGATGGAGATTAGCAGACAGCTGAGAAATGGGAAGATGAGGTCCATGGGTCCCATAGTAAAGTCGCTATGCTATAGAAAGTCCATATAAAGGCAGAATTGAAGCAGGAGCAGAACATAAAATACAAGGAAAGCTAGCAGATCATGAAGCACAAGGGCATCCATACTGCCATAGATACAGAATGTTCTTATACATCAGTATGGCCTTGACACCTACTTTTAAGATTAGCAGACTAATCTGTAATCTCTTTAAAGGATTG